CCCCCCCCCCCAAAAAAAAAAACCCGCCAAAAACCGAGGCACATAATCCACAAACCAATGGTTTCAAAGAATAAGTGCTAAAATATATATTATCGTTAATATATAAAAAAAACTACAACACAATTTTTATATATTATACTATATTATAATAGCAAATACTAAGGTATATTATAAAAATAAATGTAGGAAGTCTTTCCTTCTTATAACAAAACTTAAACTTAATAAATTTTAAGGAGGACACAGAGAACTGTGATGTAATGAACGCAGTAAAATTTGCAGATTTTTTTTTGCGTTCCTGGCTTAAACAATTTTTAATATGTCTAGATCTAAATCTATCTTTCATGGCATTATATTATTCAACTTTATGTAATCATTATCAAAGGTTACTATTAAGTTTGAAATATATGTCAAGAGATTAACACATTTTGTCCTTTTTTTTTAAAAGAAAGAAAAAATATTATAATTTCATCTTTTGCAAAATTAATAGGCTAATTGTTATATTATAAAGTTTTTTTTTTTTTTTTTTTTTTTGGGTCATGGGAAACAAACAAAAGTCTTTTAAACAAAATGTAACTGTAATGTAAGTGTAGCCTCCCCGACAATTTTGTTTACGTTATTATTAAACACACTTAAGATAATTTTGTATGTTCCAAAAAATATTGTATTGAGCGAAATCTAATCAATAAGCCACTATAACTTCTTGCATAATTGAAGATTGGCCTCATCAAGTGAGTTTAATAAATTATAATAAAATAATAGCCTATAAAAAAATTACTTTTTTAACCTGAGGCAAGAAAAAAAACAACATAACTGTTATCATCTGATAATTTAATGACATGGCATATCCACTGACATCTTAGTCAAAATGTTTATTACAACCCTAGAGGCCCACCGTGAACCACTAGACTAATTAAAAAAACAACAACAAACAAACAAATAAACAAACAAACTAATGAACATGATATCCCCTTAACTGAAAATTTAAAAGATCTTCTGTTTTTTTTTAAAAACTCGGATACAAAAATAGGCAGGTCAAAAAATTTCAAGCTGGAAATTAAATGACGAAATGACAATAGTTATTATTAAATATTGATTTAGTATACTATTATGAGTGCCGTAATATAACAAGGAGTTTCATTCGATTATTTTTGTATAAACAAGCCATAACATAAAAATACAATAACACTATAATATTGGAATTTACAACAAAGGCTAAGGAAAAACATTTCACTGGCGATTAAAAACAATAAAGTGTTTGAAGGCAGGAAATGATCCGATTCATTTAGAATTGAGTGGTAGATAATTCCAAAAATTGATTTGCCGACTTTCCTAAAAGTATTTGCAGACATTCCAAAAATGATTGCCGAATAAGATAAACAGTGTGTGCTGTTGTAACCGAACTATATTTATAGTCTACTGTCCCCCACCTCCTTTTGCAACGTAGATTCATTGCACCAAATATTTATTAAAAAACAAATAAATATATCAAAACGCTCACTTCTTATATTGCTTAGTTAAATCTGCTCTCGTCTTCACACTTATTTTTTTTTCAATTCATGAGATAGAAGAATCCTACGCAACCTCACACAATGGCAGCCTTCACCCTTTTCCGTTATATCAATACATTAGTGTGTCTCAACTGATTATTATCTCAAATCAAATCAACATTTTCAAAGCCATACTGCTATGATTAACTATTTTTCTTAGTTTCTTCTTTTTGCCTCGTCAGCTGGAGGCTGCATCTAGCCGAACATTCCTTTCATTTGTCCTGAATTTTAAAAAAAAGTAAAATAAGTAAGCCTCAATGTAGGCCTACCTTGTCCCAATATTTTCTTTCTTCATTGATTCAGACACACTGTTCATCGAGGTCTAACGTAAAGTGTCTCACACTGAATACCTCTGGGTAAAATGCGATCAGCTTTGGTAAAATGACAACAACAAAAACAAAACAAAAAAGAAATAAAAGGCACAAGATAAGGGAAAACCTGAAGAAAAAAAAAAGTTAAAAAATATTAACAAAGGACGTGTCGGCAAAAAGCCTTCTTCGGCAAAGAAACCACAAGTTAAAAAAAAAATATTAAAATATCCCATCCCAATACGATTTAATAAAAAATCTGTGAAATATTGTTTTACACTAATGAACATTACTTTAGATTTTGCAGGATTAACTCATTCATGACATCTTTATTTAAACTAGGATTTTCGGACAGAGAGAGGGAGTCGTATTTCATGCTGCTTGACCACATGCCCACCTACACACCGCAGCCTTTCGTTGGGTTCTACCACGCCCTTGACCTGTCTTATGTGTTCGACCTCGATCCCAGCGATATCCTTAAGAGATACTACAGACTAGACGCGGCTCGGGGCTACACCGAGGAGGAGATGGAGATGCGCAGAGTGTATCAGTCGATTGTCGTTGACTTCATGACCACAGGGTAAGGCTGACACTTGTAGAATAAGACAGATGACCCCAGGGTAAGACTGAACGTGTAGGATTAGAAGATGACCACCGAGTGTGACAGACATTTGTACACATGGTTAGAAGATCCCAATAACAAAACTATGATTTACATGGAATACTTAACAAGTTTTATCGCCCCCCCCCCCCGAGCTTTCGTTCTGGCTTGAAAGTATTGTACAGAATGGCTATCCGGCCTGTGCTAGGTCATTTTTTCCCTTTATCCGGCCCGCCGTGAAATTATTTGGAGACCCCTGCACTATGCAAACCGTCTTGTACACATGTACACATATTTCACCTGGTGACACGGTGATCGAGTTAACACTATCTGCTGAGTGTCTAATAAGTCAATTTTGTTGACTCATTTTCTGCAGAAAAATTAAACAAGCCTTAAAACAAAGTTGTTTGTAAAAAATCCTTTATAAAATTTAATATCGAGCACTTGAGAGGGGGGGAAGGGCTGAGAACAATAGCTCGGTGCCTTACAGTTAATTTAATATTTCAGTAAAAAGGGGGGGGGGCGCGGCTGAAAATTTGACAAAACGTGTAACGCACTTTATAAGAATCCCTATTAGTGCCCCCCTCCCCAAGGCTGGCAACCACATTTTTTTCCCACGCCCCTAAACTATATAAAAATGTAATGAATCTTGAACTTGCTGGACTAATGTCATCTTTCCAACTGACTATTTCCCAGGGCACCATTCAACACTCCACATATGCGCTCCAAGGGCTGATACATGTCTCTTGGCTAAAAGTAAAATATTAAGGGGATTTATTGCCGTAGGGCATTTAATGTTAAATCTCCTATCTTCATTTTTGAAAATTTCGTCTTCTTTTTGGCTTCCCAGCAATCCAGGACTAGGCTTGAACCGCAACATGACCTCGGCATGGCGGCCGTTCGATCCGGACAATGAATATTTCCTCAGCTTAACCCACAGGCCTTCGGTGCAGCAGTTTCCTTTGGAGGATAGGAGGGCGTTCTGGACGAAGACGTTCCCCGAAGTCGTTGAGGCGTTCAGGGTGCAAGACTTGTTGAAAGACGAACTGTAGCGGTGCAGGCCACGTACTCGCAACACATACACACATAAATTCATTAATGCGTGCATTAATTCTGGTTTTAAAAAAAACAAAAACTAATCGTAGTGATACGCTAACCCACTCGCATGACTTATAAGAGAATATAATTGAAAAAAATAAAATGAACATCTGCTTTCCATTATTTCAGGAAATCTAGTTTAAATTCGATATTTTCTTTCCATGAAGTCGTCTTAAGATTAACCTTATCAAGCTAAGGAAAATAAATTCTTTATTAGTCATTCGAGAATTCCATAGCAAAGAAAAACAACGATCGGGTGTGTGTCTGTGTGTGTGTGTGGGGGGGGGGATATGATTTCCATCGCCAGCAACAACCTCTCAGTGTCCCTGGGAATGCGAAAGCAAATGATATTAATTTTTTTGCTCATACAGCATTTTGCTGTCAACAGCTAAATAAAAATAAAAAAAAACTTTGGGGTCCGTACAATAAAAATTTGAAGGTCTAGTTTTCGGCCACGGGGGCTTTTTTTAACATTTTTAAGAGCCATTAGCGGTTCTCAGTTTAAGAGCTTAAAGGGCTTCTTTTCGGTCATGAGGCCCCAATTTTAAGAGAACTTAACCGTTGAAATTAGTATAGTTTCAAGGTGCAGCTTTTGGCCATTGCCCCCATGTTTTAAGAAACCTCATCATTAAAAGGAAAAATGACATGAACATGCTAACTCTCTTTTAGAAATTGCTGTTTTTCAATTCAGTGTTAAAGGTGGTATTCAAATAAGACGTTTATAATATATAAGGATCATATGAATGAGGAATAATGACGTAGTGAACTCAGCAATCAGTCTAAACTCCTCGCCGCCCTCCCCCCCCCCGCTTCCCCCTCCTCCGCTCCCCCCCCCGGCCACCGCTCCCCCCACCCCTTATAGCGCTGATATCTCCTCGCCGCCCTCCCCCCCCCCGCTCCCCCCTCCTCCGCTCCCCCCCCCGGCCACCGCTCCCCCCACCCCTTATAGCGCTGATACAAACTAAATCACGTTTCAACATGAGTTATTGTAGATGTTATCTACACAGACGCCAATCTCAGCCTCGTTGTCGGCGTTAGAATAAGCTTCATCGTTTCTGTCGCGTGTAGGCCTAGCGACGGACGCGTAAAGCTGCTGGGTTTTCACGACGCTCTTTCTGGCTCCCTGGTCCTTGGACATCCTGTTACCTTTTGACGACGTGTAGTGGTCGCTTTCATCCCTCATAGAAACCGCTTGGCCTCTTTGGTCTGCATCTGGAGAGTATTGAATGAAAACGTGGAGTAAGATATCTTTTATAGTTATAAATGGATACTCTACCATTTAACACCGATAATATAGATTTGAGAGAAGCCAGACTTGTAGTTATAGAAACGTGTACGTGTACCGGGGAAAAAAAGTGAACTTAAAAGATATTTCATGTTAATAAAATATTGGATTATGAAAAAAACAACAACAAAAAAACACCGTTCGTTTTGTTTTAAACGTCAGACTTTGTTGTAAGGCAACTGCCACTGAGATATATACCACTTTATTTTTTTATTTCGCCGAAATCGAAATACTAGGCCGAAATTTAAAAAAAGAGACTTTTGTCGAGACCGAAATCAAACCGAAAGTTAACGTTTCAGTTTCGGCCGAAACCGAAATTCAACCGAAAATTAACTTTTTGGTTTCCGCTGAAACCGATATTAGGCCGAAAGTGATCAAATGGCCACTTTCGAGGGCCGAAACCGGAGCCGAAGCCGAAATTTGTTCGGTCTCTACATACAGCATTCTCTAAGACAAACAAAATATTTCTTGGGAATAGAACGACGGCCTTAACCGTTGGATCTAGTGTTACTATGTGCCGTTTGAAATAGCGATTCAACGGTTATGGGGAAGCTGAAAGCGTCGTACACGATCAATGAAAATATGACAAGATCGTGTGTGTTAGCGTATGCCACACGACTAAAGAAAATATGTTGCCGAAAGAGAGGACTCGTGTTGCCGCGCTGGGGCATATGATTTCCATCGCCTCGCTGTTGACAGCAAAATGCTGTATGAGCTAAAGAATATCTAAATTCTTAGATCTCCTACTCTTAATGGACGATGTATCTTAGTACAGAATCTTAGTTTGTTTCGGATTTTTTAAAAAGGAAAACAATTCAAGTCTACAGACATTAATCAAATAAAAAAAAAACATTTTGTTAACATACACAAACACGGTTTAATACTCTGCACGGTCTAGATCAGAGGTGGGAAACATTTTATTGTGCAGAGTGCAACTTAGACGTTACATGGCTTTTGGCCTGGGAGCGAATTTGTCCAGGGGTCAATAAATTCAGCAAATAAATTGAACACATTTTTTAATTAATTGATTATAATAAATAGTGATATCGAGGTAATATCTCACATTAAAGAAAAAAATCAAAAGAAATATAAGGAAATGACATGTAACATTTGAGAAATAGTTAATAGTGAAAGCAGTGAAGCATAAACCCAGTTCACGGAAGTTCTTGTGGACCGCATTAAACTTTCCGGCGGGCCGTATGTGGCCCGCAGCCCGTAGGTTGCCTCATCCTTGATCTAGATACAACCATTAAAATAAAACAAGTACCAGACCTAAAGAAGGTTCCCTGTACGTGTAGGGCCGTCCTAAATTTTCCTGGCTAAGAGAGTCATACTTGAGGTCCTCCGGCGCCTCGGCCTGACCTTGTCCACGGCGCGTCCTCCAGCACACGGCCCCGATGATCGTGAGGACGAGAACGACGGGGCCCAACGTCAGACCAAGGCCCAGGCCCAATTCAAGTCTGTGAGCGTTATCTGCAATCGATCAACATACAAATGTTTACTTAAGGCTACATGAGCCAAACAACATTGAAATAACATTACGGAGACTTATTTCACGCAGTCTCCTAGCAGGAGGAGATCTCAAACGTGCAACTTCCCGGCCTGATAGTTAGGGCTTTAGAAGGGGGGGGGGGCTGCTTTGAGAAGGGCATTAAGAGCTCAGGCTTGACGGCTCGCTGACGCCACTTTTTAAGCACACATTTCATGCAGACGGATCTGGAATCACACACTTAAATGAAATCAAATCTGATAAGCTGGGAAGTCACATTATTTAGATGCCGTTGTATATTTTACATTAAACAAAAAAAACCAGCAGATTGATTACAGAGGCTCAAATTTTGAGCTGGAAGAATTTTATAAAACATGACAGGACAACGACTTGTGACATGTTGCACAAGAGGACATAATTTGTGCGCCATACGATATTAATGGTACATAATATGGTTCTGGAACATGCAATAGTGCTGACCGATTCGTCGATATGATATTAAAAATAGAAGTTACACACTTCACAAAAAATCGCAGTTGCCAAAAAAATAAAAATTAAAACAAAATAAAAAAATAAGAAACTTTGTCACTTTAGTGCAATTTTTTAATGAAAATATTTATATTGTTACATCCTTAAACATCTATGACCCCCGTCCCCCCAAGTGTTGAAATGTTTTCCTCCCCTTCAAGTTAAAATGTTCCACCGACCTGGCTGTTTTCCGACCCCTAGCGGGACTTCCAACGGCTCCCCCACCCCGTTGCTTATCCTCAGATTGTAGCTCCTTAAGTCCGAGTCCTTGATTTGATACATGGCCAGGTTCACGCGGCCGTCGCCTGGCGTGTCGGGCTGGAAGTGGACAGTGTACAACTCCTGTCTCGCCCGGTAGATGGCGCCGTTTTCCAAAAATTCAAAGGAGAACGTGTAATTCTGGGGCCACCCGGACACAGAAAATGAAAAATAGCTGCTCTCCCCGCTCTCCACAACATGGAATCTGTCCTCAATTCGTTGTATAAGAATTTTAGGAGGACCTGAAGTAAAAAAAAAAATGAGATTTTTGGCAAATGAGTTGCTCAGAAACTTATTGGGTTTCTGGAAATTGTCGGATTTGGTTCAAAAGAAATGAAATCAATAGATATTATCATGGAAACTACTTTACATTGAAAACTGTCATTACAAGAAATTATCTTATTTTTTTTATATATGCCGATAAAAGCAGGTACTTAATTGCGAATATTTTTAAAAGAACATGCTGAATCTCAAAAGAGAGACCACTAAATTTCCGTGCTTTAAATCTATTTTAATACTAGATTTTGGTAACAATTAACCCTTCGTCTTCGCTGCTTTTAGCTAATATTTTGAATGATATGTTTTAAACAGGAGTAAGCAAAGAGCGCTAATGCACGCATAGAGACAACTGCCATAACGAGGTTCAGAGTTCAGAGATGTCGCGTCGTGGCTGTTTGGGGGGTGTTCACTGACACATATTGGTTTTATTTAAGCCTTTTGCATTCAAAGTTGTAATACTTTTTCTAACCACCTCACATGTTTGGGGCTCTTTAAATATCCAGGGGTTCTCAAGCCACAGGTGCCACGTGACAACTCTGTTTGGATCAAAGTGGAACCGAAGCAAAGATTAATCAATTTTAGAATAGATTTAAAAAAAAAAATACGGACCACACATTTTAATTGACCAAAATTGCAACAACAAAAAAAAGCAGATATGAAAAAAAAATCAACTTACAATTCATAGACACAGTAAGACTCCTGGTGGAGCTCGTCAAGCCATCAACCTGACAGACGTACACAGTGACATTGTCACAGCCAAAGTTGTCTAGCGTGTGGTTCAGTCTGCGTGACTTATTCACAGAGCTGACCTCCACCTTACCTAGGCTGCTGAACAGTGTAATTTTTTGTGCGGCGACTGGTCCGACTGCACACTCAAAGATGACGCTGCTGCCCCCACTTGTGCTCAAGCTTGTACTGACGTCATTCGCCGTGAAGCTCGTAATGCTTGTGTCTGTGTGAAATTGCTCACAAAGGTAAGAAAAGCCAAGAAACGCAGTCCCCTAGATATCATTGACCTATTACCATTCTATCACCTAGACGGGTTTAATTGTTCTATGATCTTTACAGATTTAGTGTACTCGTTGTGTTCAAAGTACACAACATCATCTAATCACTAAACGTCAATCTCATACTATTGACTAGGAACATCAAAACCCTTTTTTTTTGGGGAGGGGGGGGGGGGGTCCTTCGGTATCAGAAATCCGGTTTGAACAGGTCTTCAGTTTAAACAACCAGGGTTCGGGTGGTAGGAGGTTCAAGTGTATAGAATGAGTTCCCCAACATAAAACCCTTTTTTTTTGGGGAGGTGGGGGGGGTGTCCTTCGGTATCAGAAATCCGGTTTGAACAGGTCTTCAGTTTAAACAACCAGGGTTCGAGTGGTAGGAGGTTCAAGTGTATAGAATGAGTTCCCCAACAATCCCCCCTCCTGGTCTCCCCCCCCCTCCCAAGCCACGTCATATCGACTCATTATGTAAGAAACTGCCATCCACGGAAGTAGGGAAAGGGTAGGGGAGGACTGCCCGCCCCGGGAGAAATTTTGGGTTCGCGTCATATTCCTTAAACAGCTCTTTGTGTATTCTCTTTACATTGTAGGTGGAGAAGAGAGGGAGGGAGGCAATACATACGTGAGACTTGGATATGCCAGATTTTATTTCTTTCTCACAATGGACTCTTCCCCAACCCCATGCCATCATCATCAGCGGTGCTACAGACCATGTAGGGCCCTGGCCTGCTCCACCACATCCTTCCATTCGGAATGATTCACGGGTTTCAGCCTTCATGCGCGAACCCCCAGCTGTTGTAAATCCTTATCATTTTTGGTCAGGCATGGGTCGAAATCCAAAATTATCGGTCCGTATTTATGTCGTTTATTTTTCCTAAAACACTTGATTTTTCACGTGACAGGGTCGTTAGCCCTGCGAACAAGCGTCTGGCGGGGAGGATGCCCCCTTGCAGCTTTCAGGGTAGCTGCCTTTTTATTGGGTCGGGTTCCTAGCCTATGTGGATCCCTCCACTTCCTACAAGGCAGTAGGTTCTGATTTTTGTCCACCCCGGGTATTTTATTTCCCCGGTACCGGACATATCTGGTGGGCTTTCCCCTATCCGCCACCTGGGGAGGCGCTCGATAGAAAAACATTCCCCCCCCACCCCCTCACAACTAAGCCATAACTGGTATTTAACACCTGAACCAAGAGCCGTTTTGTCGGATAACACCAAAGCATTAGAGAAAGGATACCAATTGCACGCACCAAACTGCATCTTTATTTTCGTAAAGCGCATTTTTAACTTTAATATTTATAAAAACCAGAACAACAACCAAAAATTTACAGTAATAATTAGTGTATTCAATTTTCTTATTATACTTTTATAAAATCTAGATAAATCTTCTAAATATATTATAATTTTTTTTTATATCAGTTTGTAAAATGAAAAACTGTTTTGTGAAAATAAACAACCAGGTTTGTGAAAATGTACAACCGGGTTTGTGAAAATGAACAACCAGGTTTGTGAAAATGAACAACCGGGTTTGTGAAAATGAACAACCAGGTTTGTGAAAATAAACAACCGGGTTTGTGAAAATGAACAACCAGGTTTGTGAAAATGAACAACCGGGTTTGTGAAAATGAACAACCAGGTTTGTGAAAATAAACAACCGGGTTTGTGAAAATGAACAACCGGGTTTGTGAAAATGAGCAACCGGGTTTGTGAAAATGAACAATCGGGTTTGTGAAAATGAACAACCGGGTTTGTGAAAATTGACAACCGCGTTTGTGAAAATGAACAACCGGGTTTGTGAAAATGAACAACCGGGTTTGTGAAAATGAACAACCGGTTTTGTGAAAATGAACAACCGGGTTTGTGAAAATGAACAACCGAGTTTGTGAAAATCAAGAACCGGGTTGTGAAAAGCAGTATTCAGCTTTTGATTCAAGATTCTTAGTATTTACTGTACAACAATAATAAAAATAAATATTTCTTATCTACGCCCCAAACTACAACTATTCTATGTAAATAAGGTACATTGTATAATGAACATGTAACAATTGTATACTGTACATGTAACGATTATATACTTATATCATTCATGCTATTATTTGCTAAACAAATTCCGTACAGACAACATGTACCAACCAAGTACTAAATCTGTCCTATGAACCAAACATTATCTATGCACTTGAAAAAATGTTCTGCATAACTAAAATACTATACTAGTAGTATACTCAAAAACAGATACTAGGTGCCCCACATGCAATATATATCCAATATTCTACTTTGCATTACACATGTAGTAAGTACCGAGCATGTACTATGTGCCAAACATGCACTAAGTACCAAACATTCACTAAGTACCAAACATTTACTAACTAAAACATGTAATAAGTTTTAAACATGTACTAGGTACAAAAATGTTTTAACTAAAATATGTACAAGTAGCAACCATGTACAAAGTACCAAACATGTACAAAGTACCAAACATTTACAAAGTACCAAACATGTACAAAGAACCAAACATGTACAAGTACCAAACATGTACAAAGTACCAAACATATACTAAGTACCAACCATGTACAAAGTACCAAATATTTACTAAGTACCAAACATGTACAAAGTACCAAAATGTACTAAGTACCAAACATGTACAAAGTACAAAACATGTACTAGTATCAAACATGTGCTAAGAACCAAACATTTACTAAGTGCCAAACACGTACTGAGTACCACACAAGTACTCACCGAGCGTGACCGAGCCAGCTGTGCTATTCACTGCGTCAGTCTTGCTAGCGTTGGAGCTGGAGAACATCCTGACACTTATTTCATGACTTCCACTCAGAAAACTTGTACGCGGTACAGTCAGAGTACAATTGGAGGCATTGTACGGTACTAACTCACCATCCACACGAAGAGAGTACTCTTCGTTCTTATATTCAATAGTCCCATTGACCTTTGTACTAGCCGAGTCCTTTGGAAGACAATGTCATAAAATAGTATTTTATTTCGAATGAAGAAAAATTGAGTAATCAATGAATTCCTACTCGTTCCTTGTTTAATAATTTGACTCGAAGAAATATTGTGTACCATTAAAAAGAAAATTAAAAATGTAAGTAATCCTGAAAGTATTTTAAGACATATAGTAAAAAAAAGAGCACATTAATTAGCTTTATTATTGAAAGAAGTTTGAGTTTGTGATTTTAAATGGAGAGAACAACTCCTTTACTGTACAGAAATACTAAACATTATATAATTTTAAATTTATTTAAACTCTAATAGTTGTGTTTTAAAAATAAAAAATGCAGTCATATTAATCAAATATCTAGCGGAAAAATATAAAATCTAATGTCTGGGCTTCAAAATAAAAGACACGACACTTAAGTGGACGTTTTGACAAGATGCCTTCTTCGGCAGAAAATGTTACAAACAACAGATACATTCAAATTTTTAAAAAGAAAAAAAAAGAATTTTTTTTTGAACACCTTACAAAATAGCTCAATACTCAGAACAGGAAGCTCTCCATGTTATTGTCAAAACGTGCGCCCCATATTTGTTGTGGGACGTACGATCACGGTAAGAGAATGTATGCGTTATTAATTAATGCAAAAGTTTAACAGACAAAAATTGAGAATAGCAATGCAGGGAAAATAAAGGATCAATTAGTAAGTGGGTATTTGATTAATTCCGTACGGTGATATGGTGCCGATGATTTGAATTAATTTGTTTTTATTCTTCACCCTCGCTGGTATATTAATACAAGAAATCAGAGCCGGGGTGGATACCTAGGATGTGCCTTTGTTGTTCACATTTGTTAAAATGGGGTGAGACCGAGTGTAGCTTGTTTTGTTCAAAATCCCGAAGATGTTCACTGAACCTATCAGAAAGCTTTCTTCCCGAAGCAGCATCTTCGGCAATAAATCAAATAGTGTAAATTTTGATCTATACACGTGAAGCCCACTGTTAGATTGAAGCCCCCCCCCCACCTTTAGGGAAGCCAATGTGTTCAGCTTCCAGAACATTGGGCACGTCCTAAAACGGCGTCTTTAACATGAATGTAGGGAGGGGTCAGCTCGTAAAGCGACTGTGAACCAGAGGGTCACATACGTTTTTTTTTTCACCTGAAGACAATAAGTAGAGGGCATGAGAATATCGAGTTAGTGTCGGGGTCAGCAAGGGTGTATATACATCTTTTACATTGTAAAGGAGGTAGGCAAGAAAGAGCCTTTTGGATGCTCATTTTTTTGTATAAAAGGTATTTAGAAGCCTCATTACATGCCATGGTACAGATACCGTCGAGGGCCGAAATAAGAGCACTCTCGGGATAAGATCTAAAGCGTAAGAAGTCCATAATTTTATTTGGCCTGTCTAAAAAGACTTTATCTGATCGGCAGAGGCACCGTACCGTAATACGTTTGGAAAAGGGTTTGTAATCTTTAAAATGTCTGGGCTAGTAAGATGAATACAATAAGTAACTATGGCTGTCAGTCGGTTTTTTTGTAAGCAGAGGTGAATAATTCGTTCCCGTTTAAGGTAAGAGCAATGTCAAGAACGGCTCCGGAATTCTCAGAGATTTGTGAAGTAAATTTAATAGATGGACGGTAAGAGTTAAGAATATCAATACATTGTTGGGCTTCGCTTGTTTTTAGGGCATTGAAGCCAATGTCATTATCAATGTATTTTTTGTACAGTTTTGGGATACGGAATGCACATGCCTACTCTACAATGTATTCAAAGTGATCCATAAAAGGCAGTCAAATTAGAACTCATTTTTGGTACCCATGGCTACACCATCAATTTGGTGAAAAGAATGACCACTAAATTAAAAAAAAAACAACTGAGACCAGTTGGATATGGTGACAGTATGAATTCATAGACGTGGCTGGTTTTCAAGGAAAGAAATCTCAGAAGACATTGTTACGCACTGACTTGTATTGGGAGAAATTAATCTCCTATTTTAATTTTAATTGGCTCGTTGTAATCAGTGCCTAACAAAGGACGATACCACAGAATCAACAATATTAAAGATACGACCCAAAACAGTTTCTAGTTACAATTAATAAGATTTATTATGTCTAAAGATAATTACAAAAGAAAATAAAATAAAATTACAATCTTCAACTTACAGTATGGTGGATCTCGTACCGGTACACAGTTAATACAATTAGAAATAATGATGCCAATAAATAATGCGAAATAAACACATATAAGTAGGAGCACACAACTACACAAAGAATAAAATACGCCTCGTAATGTTAAGAGAATCTATATGAAAATCTCCCCTCGTCCGTGCCTGTCAAACCCTTATATAGGTGTAGAGTAAGGCGCTTCCAGAAGGGCTTATGACGTGTTGTTTACATATCTCGGGTTAAGGAGTACATTCCAGAAAGTACCCCGAGTCATTATACCCAATGCGTAATTGGAAACCGATTGTAAACAAGATACTTCAAAGGCCTAAGCCACACCCCTTTGTGAACACAGCGTCTCATGCGGGGTCAATCAGAGGGCACGCACGAGAAATATGATGTAAACAAGCACTCTGTAACAACATCAAGGAAAAAAATGAGATGTTTTGTATAACGAGTAATGTTTAGGGAGTTGGATGTTATTTTTGCTAACGCGAGGTTGGTGTCTTAAATATACGTAGGTGAAGTAGTTACAAAAGGCTTGCAGATCATTTTTCGTTTTCGTAATTTTCCCTCTTACATGACGAACATTTCGTTTTCATAATGTTTCCTCTGATATGACGAACATTTGGTTTTCGTAATTTTCCCTCTTACATGATGAACATTTCGTTTTCGTAATGTTCCCTCTTACATGATGAACATTTCGTTTTCGTAATGTTCCCTCTTACATGATGAACATTTGGTTTCCCTGCTGACTTTGAGCATTTTGGACTGAAAGCTTTTCTTATATTCACACACACACACATACCATACATACATACATACATACATACATACATACATACATACTTACATACACACACACACACACACACACACACATGCACACGCACAATCACAAGCACACGCACACGCACACACGCACGCACACGCACGCGCGCACGCACGCACACACATACACACACACACACACATATATATGTGTGTCTGTACATGTGTGTGTGACATACCCTAAAGTAGAAATATGCCAACGAAATAAACGCACTAATTAAGGTGCGCATATATCCACAATTGCACTCTCTGTGACAGCTGGGCGTGAATCCAATCTAAAGTATTCTTTTTTTTTTTTTTTGTGTTTTTTTTTGGGGGTTTTGGGGGGGGGGGGGGGGGGGGGTTTGAGGAAGCAGGGAGGAGTGGTGGACTGAACTGGACATTGTGAGTGGACAGTTTGTTGCGATACCTTTCCTCCTCATTTTAGACACATTGAGAAAGAGGAAGAAATAGTCCAGAAAGGCAAAGAATGAGAGATGGCAAATCTCAAAAAAATATTTTATGGTTTGTTTTAATCGCATCCGCATTCACTCTTGCCTGACTTTGACTTGCGGGTAAAACCCGGAACCTGTAACAGATCTAGCGAGACCCTGTTTTTTTTTTTTTTCTTCTCTTTTGAGACCTCCTGGCCCTCCCCTAACGCCGTGGCCAACAGTCAACTTAAAATGCGTGTTAGTCCCAGTCCCCCAATTTCTCGATTCATTCCTCACATCATCTTCCGGACGAAACGTTCAAATTTTATTCCCTTTTCTATTAATTCCAGCTTAACGTACCTTGTTCTACTATTTCATTTGAAATTCAAGTATCACTTCTTTTTAGCGCCTGGTAAAACGTCTACAATGATCAGACAAGTTTTCAACCTATTGTGTTTAACTCTAATTAACATATTACAATAGCGTTCGACTGGGATAAGCTGTTAAATTGATTCATGAGAAATAAAATAATTTGTGTAAACAAAACAATTTCCCGAAGGCATTAATCGTGATTAGACAAAATACAAAATTAAACGTTTCGGCACAATGCCTTCGTCAGTAAAGAAAAAAAAATTGATAAAAATTAAAGTTTAATAATGTATGTAATCCATATGTATACCTAAAATAAGAGAAAATAAAAAAATAAGAATGGTCACAAGTTACCAAGAACGAAAAATAAGGTGGGGGACTACATAAAAAAAGAAGGAAAAAAAAAAAGACATTTGAGATATGAAACAAGTTTGAATTTGTGTGATACCGTAGGTAAACATGAGGCCATTTGGGGCTTTGGAAAAAATTTTCCGTGCGGAAAGTCTTGCGACAGAACAAGCTTTGATAAATGATAACTTTACACGCGTCCACTACGAGCTAAGACTTAACTTAACCCACTCCAGTCATTAAGACTTAACTTACCCCACTCCAGCGTGTAAAGAATTCGCACCTTATGCCAGGTGAGACCTTGGATGTCCTGCAGGTCACAGTGACATTCGTACCGACGGTTGGCAGGTCACACGTCACATTCTCGGGTGGGGCTAAAGGAAAAAAACAGAAAAAAACCCAACTAAATTCTCTAAAAGGTTTAGATTAATCAAACTGTATCGATCCGAATGGTATTGAATTTTGTATCCACAATGTCTGTTTAAATTGAAAGGTCATCTGCTTTAGCATTTGTTATTTGTTTACGTTGAACCTACTGTATTCTTCCTTCCGTTACTGTAGATGCCATTGTCGTTTATCTAAAAAAACTAACTATTTTGGGATATTGCTTATGGCTTACTCTGCTCACAGATTCAGAGATTTTTTCATGAAATAAATAAATTATTATAAAAAAGCAGGGGGAAAAAAACAACCTCACCACCAACAAAAAATAAAAATGAATATTTAAAAAAAAAATAAAAAATTAAAGCAGTTGTCATCCCTTGCCTGTGGCTGTTAGTAGCTATTGGAACTATTTTACTATTATTATTTACTAATTATTATGTATCTTATCTTTATCGCTACGATTATTTTTTATGTACGTAATTTGGTCTATTATTTCTGTTATTTTTTTATATCATTTCAAATTATTATTATTTATATTATTATTAATTTAAAAAAAACAACAAAGTTTTCCACATCTGGTGGGATGGCAAATAAAAGTGTATTCCAAATATTAATACAGAGATTTCTAAATCTCAAATTGCTTTTTTGCTTGCATTCTCGGACAAACAAATGACAAATTGAATGGGCAGATATCTATTTAGTTTTGCATGACACATTTTTTATAAACTGAGATGGGGAATCCATGCTCTAGGGCAGTAGCTGACAATCTTGAAGGATCTCTAAATTAACTCCAACTTATAATATTGATGAATCTCTAACTGAGATTTAACTCATAATATTGATGAATCTCTAATTTAACTATAACTTATCATCTTTTTTAGATCTGTAACATAATTATAGCTTGTAATTTTGATGGACCTCTAACTAATCTATGACTTATCTTGTTGGATCTGTAATTAAACTATAAATTATCTTGATGGATCTCTAGCTAAACTATAACTTATCATATTGATGGATCTCTAGCTAAACTATATCTATCATATTGATGGATCTCTAGCTAAACAATATCTGATCATTTTGATGGATCTCTAGCTTAACTATATCTGATCATTTTGATGGATCTCTAGCTAAACTATATCTTATCATATTGATGGATCTCTAGCTTAAGTATAAGTTATCATCTTGATGGATCTCTACCTTAACTATAACTTATCATCTTAATGGGTCTTTAACTTAGCTATAACTTATCATCTTGATGGATCTCTAGCTTAACTCTAAGTTATTATCTGGATGGATCTGGATGGATCTCTATCTAAACAATAACTCATCGCCTTCATGAATCTCTAACTGAACAATAACTTACTATCAACCTGAATAATTAACTTCACTCTTAAACACTACAACAATTTTTTTTTTCAACGGTAACCTGATGTGTCATTTCAAATCTATTTATCTGTGTTCAACGTAATCCCAAAATAAAGCATCAAACACCACGATAAATTTTCATCCGCTAATACTACGTTATACAAAAAATGATATTGTTATACAAAAATGATATTGTTATAAAAAAATGATATTGTTATATAAAAAATGATATTGTTATACAAAAAACGATATAGGCTAGTTATACAAAAAATGATATTGTTATACAAAAAATGATATTGTTATACAAAAAATGATATTGTTATATAAACAAAAATGATATTGTTATATAAAAATGATATTGTTATGCAAAAAATTATACATACTGTACACAACCAGTGCGCCACTACACGGCGACCAGGCCGACATCCTGGATGGCGACAGGCGACATTTGAAGTTTCTGTAACTGGTGCTGGCTTTGACGTCCGTCAAATTGCTCTCGACGAACGAGCCATTGACCTTTAGCCTGGCGCTGAACGGCCCAGAGCAGGTTTGATTCGACAGCGAGCAGTTGGCCACGGACAAGTCGACGTTCTGGTACCTCTCAATCGTCCACTCCAAAACCTGGGAACTATCTAGCGTTGTGGAGTGATTGCAAAACACAGAGAACGTCTGGCCATCTTTCAACGGGGGACAACTCATTACAGCCGCTGATTGAACGGACGAGTTAACAAGGAAATGTAAAACAAAACATTTGAAGAAATATTTAAAAAAAAAAATAAAAAATTACAGGTACAATAATTTTCAACCCATAAAATGGTTCTTTAACTAACGTGGGTATAAAGTATTGTGCAACAAAAGCTTACATTTAGACATGCACAGTTGTTTTCTGCTCCCGCGTAGTTCCAAATGCTTGTATGATTTCTCTAAACTTAATTCTAGTAAGATGAGTTGGGCCAAATAAAAACCGAGACCCAATAGAAATATACAGTGAAAATAGTCTGACACACAACTGAGGGGACCGAAATATGTCTTCGTGTTAAACGATGCAGACAATATATATAATTTAAAAAAAAACAAAAAAAACAATAAAATGAATGAAAATATTAATAAAAATTTAATAAATTTTAATAATTTTATTTAAATAAAAACAAATAAAAATTAATTTTTTGGGAAAATAATCTGATTTTTAATTTTTTTTTAAAATTCTTTTTTAAAGTTTTGTTTTTGCGTTGTCTTTTTTAGCATCCAGTTGGCAAAACATTGTTCGATATCGTCCATTGTCTTAGTCATTTCGAGATAACCTTCTTTCACACGACACACCTCCTCCTCTTTTTTCTTTGTTTCTTCAGACCCCTCTACATTCTCGTCGGCTGGTGTATGCATTATGTTCATTGGGAGTAGCCAAATCTTTTCATGCGAAACGAATTTTGTTTATTGTTAAAATAAGTTTTAAAAAACTATATGAAAATACCGCTTTATTAATTTTGTGTAAACCGATTGTTCACGTAAAGCGTTTTCGCGTTAAATGTATTTCATAGTATATACATATATATATATATATATATANATATATATATATATACATACAGAAACAAAAACATAGAGACCTATCGGAATCTACTAAAAAACGATGTACAAAGACACTTAACTCACCAGTAAAGAAGAGCAAATGAGGGCACAAAAGTATCCAGAGCAACCATTTCATGCTGCTATCTGGAAGATACATTTTCATGGTCAGTGAACTTTTGTTCGTCCCCTCAAAAAAACACCTGTTCATTCCCCACTGCAGTGATTACTCTTTGAACGCGCTACCAGCAAAAGGTGAAGACTGTAGTATTGAATACGATCTGGGTTTACTCCGTACTAAGCCGTTTTTTTTTCGGTAACACCCACGGTCTGTCTGAACATGTAGATGAATAGTGGAAAGTAAGGAGCTATTTGGTCTGAAGCATTTTTTTAGAAAGACTCCAAGAAAAAAGCCCCCCAAACCCCCCAACAATATTATCCCCGACCAGGATGTTGTTTGACTATACATTCTAACACCAGAAACACGATATCATTTTAATCCACGTCGGGGAGACGCAACGAGACGGACACACATCCCCAAAACCTGTAACGTAATACATTATCGCAAGCTTTCATGTCTCACACGGGAGCAGTGTTCCTTTCAGAAAATTCCCCCCCCCCCCGGGAAGGGGAGCATTTAAAATTTTCGGTGGGCGGTGCCGGTTGCCCTTGGCCAGAGGCGTAGTTAAGGAGTTTCAGATTGGCCATACTTCCCGGGGCACCAGCCTAGCCGTAAAAATCCCCCCCCCCCCGGGAAGGGGGGCATTTAAAATTTTCGGGGGGCAGGGCCAGGTGGCAGTGGCCAGGGGGGTAGTTAAGGGGGGTCAGATTGGACATACTTCCCGGGGCACCAGCCTAGCCGGGGGGGGGGGGAGCAAAAATGGGCTCAGATGGTATTAATTGGTTGAAAAATAAATTGGTTAAAAAATAATGGGTTTCAGAGATGGAAGGGGCGTAGAAATGAATTTTGTGCCCTGACGAGAAACACTGTAGATACGCCCCTGCTAGTGACGTCAAAATAGGGTGGATTAAGCGGTTCACCCAGGTGTCCCTTTGTCTTTATATGCTGGTGTGGCATTTTTGGACAACTGCCGAGTTTGTATCTTGAAAGAGAGGACGGCGAAAATATGTAGCCGCCCATGGCGGCACTAATAATAGCTACGCCACTAGGCAGTGTATCTATCGATACCAAAATCGGCGGTCATTTTCATCGTGGCTTAAGGATGAAATCGAGGGCGCCTCTTAATTTTGATCGGTGGAGGGGTTTCCAAGAAAAATTTTGATTATTTAAAAATCAAGAGGTGTATTTTTGAGTATACTTGAATTCAATGTTTCTGTTATACCTTTTGAACAGCGAAGAACATTTTAAGTTTTTTTGCGAGGCATTATTTAGCCCAGTGCCATATATAAACAAAATTCACTCTGTTTTTGTCGTGCCCCAGGGTAATCATTAGGCATAAGCTTATAAGCAACACCATACTGTAACATTGATCAGCGTGGGGGTAAGGGGTGCATAATATAGGGTACTAAAGACATTCGTACAAACTCAAAATACAGGGTGCCTTATTTTGGCACATACTTGAATTTGTTGCTTCTTTCAGACAATTTTGAGGTGGCTTTTCAAACTTTCGGGTGGGAAGCGCCAAAATTAGCCACCAAAGACATCTTAAATTCCGCACCAGCGGGACGTAAACTAAATTCACTCTAGTTGTGTCACTCTTGAGGGTACGCTTTTGCCCTAGATTATTATCACCACTTATATCTTTTAAATCACCGACACATTTTAAAAATTACAAGAATACAGTTTATCACGTATCTGAATTTAATTTTACAACTGTCTACACTTTATTGGAGAGCAACGGAAGAGATCCTAGTTAAAAATTTTAGGTGTCACTTACCTTAGAGCTATCGTGCGCCCAACAACCCCTGTGACGGAAGGGTGCCTCGGATATTTTAGGGGCTTAAAGATTAGATGTGGATATCTTATTAATTATCATCTTTCAATGCAGGGTTGGCCAAAAAAAAAGGAAATTTCTTGACCTGCTTGCGTTATGCAAAAAAAAAAAAAAAAAAAAAAAAAAAAAAAAAAAAAAAAAAAAAAAAAAAAAAAAAAAAAAAAAAAAAAAAAAAAAAAAAAAAAAAAAAAAAAATAAAAAAAAAAAAAGGAAATTTAATGACCAGATGGAGAAAAAAAAAAAAAAAAAAAAAAAAAAAAAGGAAAAAAGAAAAAAAAGAAAATGATAATAATAATTGAAAAAGGGACAGCCACATAGTTAATAAATAAAATTTCAAAAAATAAAATTCAACTAAAAAGGGTTCCATCACTAAAATGAATGCAAACATTTTTGTATATGCTGAACGTAAATGGAAACAAAAAAACTTACTTATAACTATAATGCTTCATCTACCTTTTCTAAATATTTCCTAATTGTAAAGGAGTAAAAAAAAAAAAAGCAACAAAAACAAAACAAAACAAAAAACAGGTTTAATAGAAAGATCTATACATTTTTTTGTGTTTTTTTTTTAACTGGTCATTTTTATAAATTGTAAATGAACGGCCTAACTATTTTAAGAAGACATGAGTTGTTTACAAAAGACATTATATTTATTCATGTTTTATTTTATCTATGAGTAATCGTATGCAAATAAAGTATAAATTTCCCAAAATTCAGTTTATTGAAATTTTTTTTGGGGACTTTCTAACTACTTATAACCTTCTTAAATTCCCTCTTCGCTTATACTTTAAAATATTTTTAATACAATCCACAGAATTTATCTTAAATTGAGGAATTAAGAATAAGAATTTTTTTTAAAACACGTACTAAAAAATGGAATTGGCGTGACAATCGAAATGCTATTTGAAAAAAAAACGTTTTTCTTAGTTTTCTAATGGATTCTCAGCTAGAAAAAAATATTATATAACAAAATGAGTGTAATGCCAATGAATGGGCCAATTTGTTTATTATTCTGACATTAAAAAGAGAAAAGCAATTGGGAAAGTCATAATAATGATAAAAATAGGATAAGTATTTTTAAAAAAAATCAACACATTTGTTATTCAGGTAACATTGATACAAATGTAGCACATTTAAAGAAAACAAAAACACTTTTGATTTGATCATAATTTATGAAATGTGCACTTTTGTATGCGCCCTTAAAATTTTAAATTAGAGAAAAAAAGCATGATGAAATCATACCATTTATAATTGACACCTATCCCTATTTTTAGGTCATGCTTTTACGATGAACAATAATTTCAAAACAGATTGCACATATTTAATACGTGACTAACTATTATTACAATTGTAGACCTTTATAGGCATGTAAATTTATTTTAATACAGTGTCATTATAGTCTTTAAAGTTGTGAATTTGAAAAGAAAAAATAAATAAATTTTAAAAAAATGGTGATATATACGAACAATAGGAAGTAAGACTAGTTAGTGCACTTTTTTTATAACCAAATACTATAACTTGATTAATCTTAAATATACGGATCATCAAATATATAGAGTCTAGCGATATTTTATAGATTCCACTTATTGTAATCGGTTAACGGCACTGTTACTGAAACTTTTTGAAAATGATAATTTATGTAATTTTTAATAAAAAATATCGTTTTGTTATATTGTTGTACACATTGTGCTCCGACTGGGGAGGGGGGGGCAGCGCCCTCCCGGAGAGATAGGTGAAATAAACACTGATGCTAATAATAACTGTATTTTTTAAAACACGAGGCCATCATTCAATTTTTTATTAACACCAGTCCCTACTTTAAAAGTATTGCTTTTATTATAAAATATAATTTGAAAACAGGAAAAGATTGCTCACTTTTGATACTTAGTAGGAACTCTATAAAAGTTATAGAGCTGAAAAGGTGAAGCAAATGTAGTGTTAATACAGTGTTAATAAAGTTTTTAAACGTATAAGTTTTTAACAAAAAATTAAATAACAAACACAGATATATGTGAATGGGAAATAATAATTCGGCTCATAATCGGCAAATTTTAGAAACAACGTGAGCTCTTAAGAAGACTGGCCTTAAATAAACATATCATGAAATATATCGAGCATAGCTATATTTCATTGATTCTACTAATTGTAATCGGTTATTGACAACAGCTAATATTCCTTTTAAAAATAGTTTAAAAAACGACAATTTGGTAGTTTTTTTTAAATAAAATATATTTTGCTTTATTGTTTGTATTTTTGCTCGGGGGGGGGGAATTGACTTTCCCGGGGGGGGAGGAATTGCCCCCCCCCGCCCGAAGATCTGGCTGAAAGAAACCCTGCGCGGGAGCCGGTTGAGTGGGTCTCAAATTTTACCCCCCTCAAACCCCATCTGTTACAGTCTCCTGATTCACGCATCATCCCCTATAGTTTAAAAAACGACAATTTGGTAGTTTTTTTTAAATAAAATATATTTTGCTTTATTGTTTGTATTTTTGCTCGGGGGGGGGGAATTGACTTTCCCGGGGGGGAGGAATTGCCCCCCCCCGCCCGAAGATCTGGCTGAAAGAAACCCTGCGCGGGAGCCGGTTGAGTGGATCTCAAATTTTACCCCCCTCAAACGCCATCTGTTACAGTCTCCTGATTCACGCATCATCTCCTAGACTGGTTATGACGTCAGCTGTCTCTGATTATTTGCACACCTGTAAAGTACTAGCCGCATGCCGTACATACCTGGACGGAACTGAAAATTATATATTACGTTACAAATTTTCAGTTTTTCAGCCATCTGTTTCCCCCATCCAATTTATACTGGTACACATTGAGGTCTGCGACAAGCCCCCTCCTCCACCAACGGTCTTCCATGCAATAAAGTATCCATGAGCTGGGTTTAGAGAGTAGGCCTGTATTAATAAATTTGTCCTGAGCAGTTTGGGAACACTTCACAATCACATGAGAGGACAGTTATAACTCCTTAAAATAAAAATAAAAAAACTAAAATACTTCAAGGTTACATTTTATGTAAGATATAAAAAGTACGTCTTAAATTTCTTACGCCTATTCTCTGTATGGAGGAAGCGTAATATTATACTGATGTTATACGCGTGGGTCCTCTTGTCCTGGTTACACTTTACAATTACGTAAGAAGGACCGCCTGTCCTGGCTACACTTTACAATTACGTAAGTAGGAC